AGGGAAAGAAGGGTGACGGGAGACAAGCAAAAAGAGACCAAACAGGAGAGGCAGAGGTTAGCGTGAGCTCCAGCAGGCCCGAGCGCCCTGTGTGAGCTCCTGGTAAACGACCAAGTAATCCCTAGGCTTTAGGTGTGATTCTGAGGTCTGAACCCGGATTGCCTGCTGTGCTATTCTGCTGGGGGTTCTGCTCGGTCGGGACAAGCTTCTTGAAGGATTTTTTCCTTGTCCTCTGATCACGTTCTCCAACCTCCCTCCAGGTGGTGGCCCTACAGTGAGACCAGCCCCGAGTGAGGAACTGTCACCTCACCTAGCAAGGAACTGCCCACTCACTTTTTAATCTCCATAAGGCAAGGCTGGAGCAAAAAAGAAAGGGAGTGACTGGTGAGGGAGGCAGTGAGGGGGCCCGGCACCCCACCCTGCCCTGCAGGCCTCCCACCCTGCCCTGCAGGCCTCTGGGAAAGTTCCTCCCCCCTCTGTTCACATCGCCCCCTTCCTCCACCCACCCCTCCTCAGCCTCTTCAATCTGGCCTCCTGCCAGGAGCCACTGAGCAGTTTCACTTGGCACAGATTCTAAAGGAGAAACAGCTCTTTGTTCCATCCACCAGAGGAAAAGGTCCCCAACGCCTGCTACAAAGACACCTTTTCACCTGTCAAGGCAAAGAAAAGCGGCCTCTAGGCCTTCCAAACCCAGAAAACCCAGCTAAAGACCAAAGCCGCTTCTCCTCTGGGACCACTGGAGGATGCAAAAGGCAGAGCCAGAGGCCCTGCCAGCCATCCACACCCCTAACCCCTCCCAGAGGCTGCTCGGGCTGAAGGACACCGCAGCGCTGCTCACAGAGGCTGTCACTTAGGCAGGAGACTGGACCTAGTCCTGGGCACACGTGCTCTACTTTTTACCCTCCCCATCCTCAGAGACTTCACTCCACATTCTGCACTTTCAGGGAGGAAAACTAAACCCCCAGTCACAGTGGGGAGCTGATGACCACAGGGCCCAGGGTGATGCTGCAGCAATTCAAGACGAGGCCGGCTTGTCTCGCACCCAGAACAAAAGAGGATGGAGGCCTTTAGAGCTCTTTCCACACATCACGGGATTTGAGGGTTGCCCACAGTTTTCAGGCAAACTTTGCATTAACAACAACAACAAAAAGCACTTCATTCTAATGAACCCTGACCTCATTTCCTGAAGTGGCCTCAGACACGCACACACAAGCCTGCACAGTCTGTCAGTTTGATTTGTCATCAGGCAAAAGCCACATACACCCACCCCAACCTTCCCTGCCCTCAGATCTAGAGCTTCTCTCATCTATGTTTAAGGCAACGCTGTAAGGAGGAAGAACTAGAAACTCAACTTAGTAACGTTAAATCCCAGTTTTCCAAGGCAGGGGGAGAACCCCACATATTAGCCACCACAGTTTTGGCCACAACCGAAACCCTGGGTTTCTGCAGTATCCGGACAAAATGTCTCGAATAAAGGGAACGTGGGGCTATTTTCATCAGGAGCTGCGCTTCTCACAGCAGGCAGTGAGCAGAAACATCTTCAAAATACTGCACTCTCAGTAAAATAAAATTCTGATACTGAAATGGAATTGGATCCTCACCTACTCTGTGTCCCTAGAGTGGGCCTTAAATTCTGCCCAGATGGAGCCCTTTCATCATCTGATAAGGAAAATGCAGGATAATCAGATTGACAAAACAAAACAAGACCCAAAACCCACACCCTATAGCAGGCAAGGTTTTGCCAAACAGGGCTTGACAGAATATACTGTACTTGCAGAATATTTAATTTTCTATCCCACAGCAGTAGGGCAGTAGTCTTCCGTTTTGGCCCATCTGGACCCTCACCAGAATTTTAAGCGGAACTCCAGCCCCTTCAGCCCCCTCCCCACCAGGTGCACTCCCTCCCTCTCCCCCCACCTCCCCCCTGCTCTGTGAGGCCTGCCCCTGCTTCTCCCAGTGCCAAGGTGGGAGCCAGCAGTTGGGATTCACTAACATCACTTGACCTTATAATCTTTACCAAAAAGTTGTGCAAACTATTATGGTTTGTAACCGTATGTGGCTCGCAAATTAGACAGAAGTAAAGCGCTTATGACTTCTGTGAATTCCACATAAACCCCACGTTCACTCACTAGGTAGCGGACAAGTGCAGCAGGAACTCCTCGTGCGCCTTTGCTCACATCCCCTACCGGATTCAAAGTTCTTCGGGGCAGAGGCGATCACTGGATAAATGTAAAGTATTAACTGTAAGCATAGTTTGCTTTAAGAAGTTTTCTTATGAGTGTATTTTTGATTTAAAAAAATTAAATACTCTTGGATATGTTACTTTACACACGGGCCAGCTGGTTTCAACAACTCCGTGTGCTCTGAACTCTCTCTACAGCTATTTTACACATTTGGCAGGGACTGAACTCTCAGAGTGAGAGCTCCGTAATTCCATGTCTCCTCTTTTTTGGGCAGGGGGATGGGGGCGTGGAGAATCCAACTGACCATTCGGGCTCCTGCAGGTCTGACAGCTGCATGAATCAGTTTCAAACAAAGGGCCCCGTCTCACTCACCCAGCTCAAAGCCTGCAACTGTCCAACCAACAGTTACCATCAGGGGACAACACGGCCGGGGTGGGGGGTGGGCATTAGCTATTAACCTGAACCTGCCCTTTCACCCGTTCCTATTCCGGGTGGCAGAGTCCTCCCCAGACGCTCACCCAACATTTAATGGCCCATCAAGAAAAAGCATGAGTCCAGCAAAATATCAACAAGTCCTCTCTTAGCAGGTAAATTTAGACACATTTTGTTCAGTAATATTTCACTCCAACTGGCACAAAGAGAAAAAAAAAAGTAAGGCCTTTATTTAAACCTATTTAGCAAGACAAAGTCTCAGAAAGCAGATTTAGATTTCAGAAGATTTAGAAAGTCAGCTTAGATTTCAACAGGTACTGTATCTACAAAAGCGGGATCCAAGTTGTCAACATAAGGAAGTTGTTTGTCATTTCATAAATAGACCTTAGAAAGTAACTAGCTTGGTCCTAAGTAGAGAGGAGCAGGGCGAGCTTGGTTACACCCTGCTTACTGAAGCACCCACCCACCCCGACTCAACTGCTTTACAAGCTGGGAGCTATTTTCAAACAACGCTTTCAAAATGCTGTTCAGAACAAGTTCCTATTGCATAAGCACAGGGGACTATATTCAATACCCTGTGATAAACCATAACGGAAAGGAATATGGAAAAGAATGTATGTATAACTGAATCATTCTGCTGTACAGAAATTAACACATTGTAAATCACCTATATACTTCAATAAAATAAATTTTTTTTAAAATGCTACTCAGAGTTGAACTCTGTAGTTCTGTGTAATCAGAAGATGCCATTCCACAACACAGCGACTCCAGGTATCTTAAATAAATTTTGCTGGGAAAACAATTACACTTTGAGCAGCAAAGTGAGAACCCTATTATCAGTTTAGTAGATCATGTCCCAAAAAAGCCCTCTGGGCAGGCCTGGCAGACTGTCCACAATGTCAGGAATGTTCAGGCGGAGTGGACCGGGGTCCCGCAGTGTTTGTGCCATAAGTCGATGGCCTTGCTCACAATCGCATCCGAGCTGTCCTGGGGGATCTGTGAACAAGCAAACCAATCTCTGAAATGTGTTTCTGACTTCAGTATCTCCCTCATTTTCACTCTGGTACAAATCTCATTTCCATTGGAGTTTTCACCATTTTTCAGAAAGCAATCGCACAGGAGGCTAGTGCCAGGATCTGTTTCACGCGCCACCTGAGGCCGCAGCAAGGAGCAGTCGTGTCATATCGCCTAGGGTCGAATCCTGCACTGCCCACTACTTGTGGACTCCTGGGCAGGTTATCTGAGCTCCCTGGGTTCAGAACCCCGTCTCTAAAATGAGGCAAATGATAGCCGCAATTCACAGGGCTCTTTACCGGGTTACATGAGGTAATTCACAAAAAATACTTAGCAGTGGCCCTGGCACTGTGAGCCACTAATTATTACAACGATAACGGTTCTTTGATCCAACATACCTTCACTTAGTACTTACTTACTGGGCCACTGTTCAATTGTTAACACTGACTGATTAAAATATATAGATTTGGGGCCCAGTGAAATTCACTCACACCTAAGTCTCTTTACTTCCACCTCTTCTTGCCTGGTTAAGGGTATTCTAAGATACAAAGACGGGGAAAAACAGATTCATTTTGACCCTTTTCAACATGCTCTAAGTTTACATTTCAGCACATTAACAAATCCAACTGGGACTCTACCAAAGACAGCAACAGAAATGAAAGGACTTACAAAATCCCTCAAAACATGAGGTTTCCTTTTCCAGCAACAAAGATCAGTCACACTAAAGTAAAGATCTCACCTCTTCCTTTTCTTGACAAACCTCCTAGGGGTCACATCAGGGGATGAGACTCCAGTCCCAGGTGCATACACTCACGGAGACTTGTTGCTCAGACCACTGACCCCAAAGGACTGCACTACAATCCACAGACCAACTTGAAACTTCCAGGGGAAAATTGTTTCTTATGATGTAAAAGTATACTGTGTCTCTGAAATAATTTAATGCAATAGAAAAATCTGGCTTGCTAAACTGACTTCCCTTCTAGATTCAAAATTAAAATAAAACAAAGTACACTTACATTTTCCAGAAACTTTGTTATCTTCTCTGCACCGTTCAGTGCCATTACTTTTATTTTAAAGGTTAAGAGAATTTCCACAGCTACAAAAACTAGTATCTTACAGGATCCACTTATAACTTTATCCCAAACCCTGCAAAATAAAGACATAATCAAATTACGAGTTTGAAGTTTATGTTTATCTAAACAGCTCAAATTTCAAAATTAAATCAAATTACATTTTAAGTACCGTCGTCCCTCAGTATCCCCAGGGAATTGGTTCCAGGACTCACTTGCTGTGGATACCAAGATCCGTGGAGGCTCAAGTCCCTTGTGCAAAATGAGGTGGTACAGTCAGCCTTCTATATCTGCAGATTCCACATCCAAGGATTCAACCGACCACAAATTATAAACACAGCACAGGATCAGCTGAATCCGCAGATGCGCATCTGCGGATACAGAGGGCTGAGTTCATGAGCTTCGGAGAAGAGCTATGAAGAAATCATCATCAAGGAAAACAACACAGATCAGCCATTGGAAATCTATTTCAGACACAATCAGCAGTGGAAGGGAAAAAGGAACCGTGGCTAGAAAGTATCAATATTTGCTCTGCTAGGAACTGACCAGTATGCCAATTCCCTCATGTTTCAAAACTGACATTTTCGGGCAGAAAAGTCCTAAACCAAAGCTTAGATTTTACTAACATTTTGTAATGTTAATATAATCATTACATGGTAAGGAACAACAAAAGCAGCAAATGAAATGATAAATTCAATTTCATTTTCCAGTGGTTTAAATTCCTTAATTAAGGAGCCAGTTATTGAATATACTCTAAAATAACTATTCTGATAACTCCTATAAACTTTTACAGTTGGTATTATTCTATACATGCCAAATGCATTGTCTTGTAATGTCCTCTGTACATTTACCTTTCTCCTCAACTGCAAAGTTGTGGATGGGGTGATCCAGGACACCGAAATACCCGTAACACGTCTAAAGTTGATGGAAGAGCTGAGTTTGAGTCTCAAGTCTCTCACTGCCTTCAGCTACTTTAGAAATACACATTTTCTCTAGGACCTGCTCCATTTCTGGAAAAGCCCATATATATTCCTAGAGACTATTTCACATGGGAATACTGAACAGCATCGAACACATTGAGGGCCTTCAATTTCTCTAACTGTATGTTGTAACATTTTTAATATTTATATTAATATGAGATATTTCTAATGTTTCTAACTGTATATATAATAAGCAGAATCATGTGTTGTTATGTTAGCTGCTGGAGAAGTCAGCATCAAATTATTGTATTGTTCTAAAGCAAATTTATATTCCAAGATGATCACGTTAAAAAAAAAAAAAAAAAAAAAGAACACAGGATTTTTCTGCCTCTGAGCCTGCAGTCCGTATTTGAAAGAAATACTTGCCTCTGTAAGCTGGATTCAGGCAAGCACCCGGCGAAGCACCTCTTGAACCAGAGATCATAGGGAAGTTTGGACACTGCAGAACTCGTCTTCAGATGACTCAGCAGTCGGCTATCTTCCAGGTTCAAGTATTGTTCAAAAGCCTTTGGCTAATGATTAAACAGGAAGAGATTACTCAGTTCCTGTGACATAATGTTACATGATCTTACAGCCTGTGATGAAAAAGTGTACATGCTGAATGCAGGAAATGCTAGAAGACAAAGCTTCAGACTCATTTAAGTCACTGGTGAGGCAGCAGTTTCCCAGGTCAGCACTAACCAGAGGAACCAACCGTCCAGGACTAAGGGGTTTCCTGGGACAGTCCCAGGCTAAAAGGAACAGTTAGTCACCCTAGTTAGTCCCAATTGTGCTAGCCAGACTCGACAACCTAAGACAAAAGCCCAAACCAAAACTCAGTTGCTCTGGGGAGCTAAGAAAGGCCCGCGTTCTGGCTGCTCTAGGGCAGCAGGTTATACGTTCAGGGAAAGGACAAGGGTGAGGCCAAAGAAACAGAGCGGGACTAAAGCTGGGACAGGGAACTAGGAAGAATGGAGATGAAAAGGGCCCAGCAGTCACTGATGCCACCTACGCTGACCCACGTGGAGCGCACTCTGCACTTGGCAGGGTGGGTCAGACAACAGGGGTAGCTCTGTCCCCAGCAAGATGTGCACAAGAATTCCGGAGTGGTACAGGAATAACACAGGTGGACAGTGCTCCGGGGTTCCGTCTGGCAGCCTCTCCCATGTAAGGTTACACAGCAGCCAGCACTAGAAGACTGGGATGGGAGCTAACAAAGCTGGCTCCCAGACGGGTCTGCTGTATTTACAGGGTTCTCTGGCAAAGCACGGATCCTAAGGTCAAACCCTCAAGTCTGTACTCTCTATCCAGAAGGGCACAACCAGATCCCATATCACCTGGCCAAATGCAATTCTTTTTTTTTTTTAACTAAATATCTGCACTGCTGTACTTCTGCCAAAGAGGCAATTCATAACCTTTACAATGTCCACCGTAGCCAGACACTGCTACATATATAGGGAAGGGAGTAAAAGGCAAGATAGCTTTATTACAGTGTGTTATAGTTAGCTCTTTGCAGCTCTCTCAACCAGCTTGGAAGCTCGTTGAAGGCAGAGATGCTATGATGGGAATAAGCAGAGACGATGGGTACATCCAGGTGGGAATCCTAACCCATATACTTAAGAAGCCAGAAAGAGTTTCCCAGGACAGCTGACGTTTGAGCTGGCCCACGAAGAAGGGAAGGGACTTGGCCAGGCAAAGAGGGCCACACATTGATATCTGGTCCAGCTTAAAGGATAAATATTGCTAAATAAAGAGAGCTTCTAAAAAAGGAAAATGCCAAAACCTCTATAGGAAAAAAATGCACATGGCTCTAACCCATATGAAAAGATGCTCAACCTGGCTATAATAAAAGAAATGCAACCTGAAACTATAGTAAGGTATCCTTTCTCACCGATCATGCTGGCAAGAACACATACCAGGTTGGCGAGGCTATAGGGAAACTGGTGTTCTCATCTGTTGATCATGAGTATGCAAAAGGGTATGAGCTCTACAAAGAGGAATTTGAAAAAAACCTAGCTAAGTAACATATGCCTTTACCCCTTGATCTAGGTCATTTCTGGGAAATCTATCCCCCATATACACTGGCAAATATACAAAAAGATACATGCACAAAGCTATTCACCTGTTATAACAGCAAGAGACTGGAAACATCTCAATTAGCCAACAATAGAGGATGGGCTGAATAAACTAGGATGGAGTGGTATGCAGCTGTGAAAAGGAATAAGGAATGTCTCTATATACTGCTTATGGCATAATCCCCAGTATATATTAGGTTAAAAAAAAAATAAAGCAGGGTGAAGAAGAACGTGTATCAGATGCTACTGCTAAATCTAAGAGGGTGAATATAAATACATATCCATGTGTGCTTTTTTTTTCTTTTTAGTGGAAGATGACATTTATACTGCCTGAAATTTTTAGGACACAGCAAATGGCAGATGTGATGATTTTATTTATATTTTACTGTAAAACATTTAGGTTATTTCCAATATTTCCATGACTCTCATATACTTACTTTTAAGGAAATAAAGCATACCTTACCTCAACAGAAGGCAAAACCTGGCAAGACATTTAACCACCTTGAGAGGAATTTATATTAAGCTTAAGAAGAGGCTGCTAATAGTGTTTATTAAAAGAAAAAAACCCCTCTCTTTAGGACAGCTTTTAAAAATTATATCAAAGGCAAGGAAAGAAAACTCACTCATTTTAATGACTAAACACAGTTAAGACTGAGATGGCTTAAACGCAGTTTGATCTGAAGAGAACAACAGAGACCTTCCATGTCACACCAATGAAGCTGGCCTCTACTCTCCTTGGCAATCAGAGGCCTCATCAAAGAGAATTTCCAAAAGCTTGTATGGAGAGGAAAGCTGTGATGTAATCCTATAAACCAGAACACTACAACATAAAGGCATCATCACCAGAAATATTCTTTTCTTTGGATGTCAAAAGCCCGTCACTGTCTATCATGTGCACATTTCCCCAGGATTATGAAACAACCTATGCTTTGTGATAACAAATTTGGTAAAACCACAAAAATCTGAAAAGATGACAGACAAGATTATAGAAACTAACTAAAAAATTTTAAGCTGGACTAAACAAGGTTTAACTAAAGACAACTTTTTTTTAAAACTTGACTTTAAAAGTTTAAGTCACTTGATGGCTAAATCAAATAGCAACACAAAGGAAATTTAGCTTTTCTTATACATTCTGAACTTAAAAAAAAAATTTGCAACTATAAAAAACTATGTGCTAGGCACTATAATGTACATGCGAAAATAAACCCCCTTTTCTGAAGATGGGGAAATTAAGGTTCAGGGGACATAGGGACATTAAGTATCTTGCCGATTCTAAAATTCATTTCTTTAAAAAAACAAAAAAGCTCAAGGCATTTTTGAAAAAGAACAGTAAGAGGGAAATTTCCCTACCAGCTATCAAAATATGCTAGGAAGTTAAAGTCAGTCATATGGTACTGGCCAGGAAACAAATACCTTGATAGAAAAAAAAAAAAAAAAAAAAAAAAAAGGAGTCCAGAAAGAGATAAATATATATATAAACCTAGTACATGACAAAGAGGGCATTACAAATCTGTGAAGAAAAGAATGAACTGATCAATAGCGTAAGGGGTAGTTCTACTGCTTATTAACTGTGTGGCCTTGGACAAGTTACTTAACTGCTCTGTGCTTCAGTTTCCTCATCTGTAAAAACAGATGTGTTAAGATGAAATAATTCATCAGCAAAGCAAATTTAGTCTTGGTTGGTATGAATCATGTTCTCAGACTGTTGACCAGAGCAAGGAGGAAGAGGGTGGTGGGGTGCTGGCTGAAGCTGTGCTGCAGTTATAACCACAAAAGGAACAGTCACGTCTGCGTCTGATGCCAGTCACAAAGGTAAGTCCTTCACCAATTAAAGAACTAAATTTTAAAATATTCAAATATTTTTAAAAATCAGAAGCTTTTTAAAAACTTGTTTTTAAATCTCGGGATTAGAAAGGGCTTTCTAACTGAGATACAAAACAGCAAAAGAAATACTGATAAATCCAATGGTATCAAATCTTTACATCTTTACACAACAGGGAGAAATATTTTCAGAGAAAATATTTAACTTATTTAACAAAAGATAAATTATCCAGCATATAGCAATAATTCTTACCAAAAAAAAAAAAAAAGGAAAGACGGAAACAAAATAGAAAGGTAGACAAATATGATGACCAATAAACATACCCAAACCTGCTTAACTTCACTCAAAAATGAGGCAATGGAAATTAAAATGGGCTACCATTTCAGTATCAGATTGGAAAAATGTTAAGAGAGTGATACTATCAAGTACTGGCAATGGGGTGGAAAACAGGAAATCTCATAAACTGTTGGGGGAAGCAAAACTGGTATAACTTCTGGGTAAGTAACCTGGTAGCTAACAAATTTAAGTATGTCTCTTGCAACTGAGCATCTGTTGTATAGGTAACCCACCCTAGAGACACACGCACACATACACACATGGGAACACATCACATACACGGAGTGGGACTGTCAGCATGGAGCCTTTACATTAAATTAGGGCAAATTCTTAACAGAAAACACTATGAGAATTTTTTAAAGTGGTTCTAAATGAGCGACTCTCAATCCTAGCCTCATTTCAGAATCACTTGGAGTTTTAAAAAAGTAGAATTCTGGGGCCTCACCCCTGAAGATTCTGATTTCATTGGTTTGGTCATTTTTAAGAGCTCACAGGTGGTACTAATAGGAAGTCAGGACTGAAAACTACCTACGTGTATTGACATGGAAAAGCTCCCAGACATTACTTTTTAAAAAGAATTATAGGGCCGTATGAACAGTATGATAATACTTACATTTAAAAAAAATTATATATAAGTTATATACATATACACACACACGTGTTCATGGGAATGCACTCGCACCCCCTTCCATTCCAACGCACATAAAATAGTCTAGACAAACACACACCAAGCTGATGACAATGCCTACGTCTTAGAAAGTGGAGATGGGGAGGTGCTGGTGCAGGTCCATGACAACACTGGATTCATTTGGATTACTTAATACTTCAAGAAAGTATGTTACTTATGTTATTAAAAATAATGAATTTTTAAACAAACTATCAAAATGCTACTACATTTACCCCAATAATAAGAAAAGCAAATCACAGTATGACTCGGACCTCTTGATTTAATTAGGCAGCTAACATTTCATTTCCATATGCTCCAATGCCATGCTTTTTATTTTATTGAAATTAAGTGAATTAAATTTCAAAATTCTAAAAATCAAATTTTACTTAATGCAAGTACATAAAAAACACTCCTGTTCAGTGCCCTGGGAAGCTGAGGGCTGAAGAGTCTCGCCCACCACCGTAACGGACACAGCAGGGATGGATCTCCAGGGCTTGGCTGACCTCTGCCCCGCACCTGACCCTGCGTCCTATACCACGGTTACTGCTTTCAACAGAATTTCCAAGTGAAACAATTCAATGACTTAAAAGACTCGTTTTTATAAAATGAGGGAAAACACTGGGCAAAGAGAATGGCAAAGGACCCCTGGCTTCTGCTGATGACACAAGCGCTGGTCTCCGGATTCCCAAGTCAGAGTGTACAGACCACGGCTGCCTTCCTCGCAGAGTCCCGACTCTAATGTGAGATCACAGTGTGCCCGGCTAAAACGAACCGACCACATTTCCCAGGCTCCACTGCAAGCTGGGGCGGCTGGTGACACAGTCCTGCCCGCCAAGTCATGCAGAAAGCAAGTCTGTTAAAGGGGGACAGGCTGGCCTGGCTTGTCACTTCTCCTTTACTTTCGTCTTTGCTTTTCCCTTCCTGCCTAGAACAGGGGTGGCATGGCTGTCACTCCAGCATCTGTCACGGGATCACGAGAGGAAGGATCACACCTAAGAAGGCTAGTACAGGAGGACACGAGTCTGGGTCCCTGGCCACACAATGGCTGTGGCACCAACCCTGGGGTGCCTTGCCTCCAGGCTTCTGCTTCCGTGACAGAAGACAAAGCCTCTGTTACTTGGGCTTCCCATTCTACACAGCCAAACTTAAACCTTAGTACAGACGGGTAATTCTAGCTAAAGTCAGGGGATTCTGGATCAAGATAAGGAACACTGTAGAGCGGGGCGGGTGAGCCAGCTACAGCCTGCAGAGGCCAAATCCAGCCACAACCATGCTTTTATGTATTTTGTGTGACAACAGCAGAGCTGTGTGCTTGCAACAGAGACATACACACCTAGCCCACCAAGCTGGAAATATTTACCATCTGGTCTTTTACAGAAGGCATCTGCTGGTTCCCACCACAGAGGGTCCACGCATAATTGTAGCAGCACCAGGAGGTAAAGGCCATTTCCTGAGGACCCCCATTACCATTGCTCATGCCCACCCCAAAATAGCCATAACATCATCCCTCACCAGCTGGGGTAGAAAATCCCGGTACTTGTTATTCAGTTGGTTCACAAAGCATCGGGTGAGCCAGTAACAGTCAATGCTATCTTCCACCATCTCTTCCATGGCTTTAGCAATGGCAAGAAATACTTCATCTTCTGGCTCCTGCAAGATTAATAATAACTCTCAAGAGGGAGGTAGGAGAGAGAAACACAGAATTCTTTAATAATAATGAAGCCTTGCTCCCTAGATTCTGAAGGACCTGCAATAAATCAAAGTGGGACCAAAAGCACACAGTCCATCACTAAAGAGATGACCAAGGGGAGATGAGGATGAAACCAGAGGAATCTGAGTCAGCGCTGCTTCTGAACACTCAGGTTTCAAGCTGAACATTCAGAGAGTTTTCAGCTTCTAACATTAAGGCCAAAGAGTCAACACAAACCCTAAGCAAGGGCTGACTCTACACCCAAAAATATTCTCTGTGCTGGAGAATTCCTTTCAAACAGAAGGTGATAAACAGCAAACAACTGCAGACCTCTGTCAATAATTTGCAAACATTAAATGACCCCCAAAGGACTAATAAGCATTTTATTTCAAAGCATTCATACATAGCTTTAAATTTTTGTTCTATCTTTAAGCACCTAAAAACCTAAAAATGACCCTAGAATCGGAATTTTAGGACTCAGAAGAATGGCATTTCTCAAACCCTGTGTCAATACTCAGAGCATGAAAGCAAACCCTCAAGTAAGTTTCGAAAGGAATCTCATAAAAACTGGAATCCACTTGAAAAATCTGTTTTCTAACACCACATCTTACACCAAAAGCTTTACAGTTTCATCTAGGATTTAACAGCTGAAGGGTTTTTAACATTGAAAAGAAACTAAAAAGTTTCCATCTACTCCCCTAAGAAGTGCCAAGTTAAAACCAAAATGCCTATTTTAACAGAAGTATTGCATTTTAGGCCTCCTATCCACTTAGGAACATTCTACAAAATGTCAAGAACAGCAAGAAAGTCTCCTTTCGTGGACTCCCACCTGGCCCTGGCGCTGTGCTCGGTGCTCCTGAACCTGGCATCTCAACGCTGCTCCCAGTTACTCTGAGACACAGCCAAGAGGACCAGCGCCCTCCAGCAGAAGTCAGCCTCTATGTGCCCAGCCCTGTGCCGAGCACTGTCACACAGTCTCATTAAAAGATAAGGAAAATACAGCTTCTAGGGCTTGGCGACCAAGGAGGCTTGAGCCCAGAACAAAACTTGGACAGCATGTCAGCCTGAGGCCACAGTACAGGTGCCTGGACCTCAAGCCTGGAAAGCTGAACAGGGATGAGGTGGAAACGATAACCTACCATCTAGATCTCTTGAGCTAATGGATAATCTAACTTCATATACAGTTTAGGAACTTGTGTGGTACTATCAGCTAACTGCATTCTGCCAATGGGAAATAAAATGTAAAGTTTGAGGGTTCCAACTATTTTCAGGAATGTTCTCTCTTGATAAATTTCATCAGAGTGGACGACCTAAGATTTGCCCATGGGACCCAAAGCAACCTCAAAAAGAACAAGTCGAAGTTCAAACTGCTGTGCTGGCACACTGCGATCTTCAGCAGCCACCAACAAAACTACAGAACAGCACAGTTTGCAGGCAAATCCCTCTTCTGAACAATTCACTCTGCTTTAGCCAAAAGTTAAAATGCTTAGAGTGAACTGCAAGTTGTATTAAAATAGCCAAAGCCCAAGAGCTACAGTCATTACTTTGCCTGCCCTCCTCCACTCTTCCTCTCTTCCCGTTATAAACAATCAGCAGTCCAAGTAACTAGAGTGAGCGGTTTGTCAAAGGTGAAATCTATAAAGCAGGCTGGAGCCTGTGGGCCTGAGGCCAAGGAGGGGTCAGGGCCAAGGAGGCAGCCAGTGACTACAAGGCCTGTGCGGCCTACAGGCCAGGGCCAGAGAGGTGGCCGGCCATGTTGGTCACAGACAGAGGAACGACCAAAGAAATAAATACAAATAAGCAGAGGCTTCCATTAGCCTCACTGTAACTGCCAGAGAAGGAAGTTGCAAATATAAAAAGGGTGAGGGCTAAAATGAACTTGTGATATTAGAAAGGAATTGGCACTTTTGGCATTAACTGAGGGTCTTTAATATAGAAATAAATCGATATATAAACACATAGGTGTGTATATTTCCTAGCTGTCTGCTGAGAGGGCCTAGAAGCAATGACACACCAGAGACAATGAATATACCTAGCACCCTGTTCTTGGTTTCTAACTGTAATACTCCAAAAAAAAAAAAAAAAAAAACAGGGAAAGTACAAAATGAGCCTGGAATACCTTTTTGTGCCAGAAAGTAAGAAAGTGCTCAAAATGATGGGAACTTGTCAAAAAGACACAGAAGTCAGCTTGAAAGGGCTCCCGCTGGCTAAATACGGGACAATTTTAACATCAAAATAATGGTAGTAATGAGTTATAGGCCACTGAATAAAAGAGGAATCTATAAATTCATACTGATACACATAAATGAGGGAGAAGGGAAAACTCTTCCTTACAGAAAAGTCAACGAATAAATGCAGAAGGGATGAAGGAGTCAGAAGATCACCATTTGGCAATCAGCACAGTAAAAATTGTTTCAGGCCAGAGTCAGTGGATTGATAATTACATAGTCTCAAAGTACCTCCCCACAAGTTACTTATTAATTACAAAGGGAAAACAGCAACCTTACCTTGAAGAAACCTGGCAGACACCACCTTAACCAAGTGATCAAAGTTAGCAGCAAGAGTAATAATATCTTATTTCTGTGGAATTCCTGCCAGAAACGCATAACTAGATTTTAATCATGAGGAAACACACAAACCCAAATTGAGAAACGTTCTACTGGCCAGTACTCTTCAAAACTGTCAAGGTAGGTCATGAAAGACAGAGGAAGACTGAGGGACTGTTCCAGATTAAAGGCAACTAAGGCATGGTAAACGTAATGCATGATCCCAGATTGGATCCTGGACCAGAAAAAGAACATCAGTGGGACAGTCAGCAAAACTTCAATAACACCTATAGATTAGTTCATGGTATTGTATCACTGCTAATTTTCTGGTTTTGATAAATAACCAGAGTATAATTAAGATGTAACATTTGAGGATGCTAGGTGAAGGTATATGGCAATGCTTAAATCTTTATGCAACTTTTTTCTACTATCTTAAAATGAAAAATTAAAACAATTTTTTTTAAATCGTCAACAAATGGTAAAACTAGTAGTTGAAAGTTTGATAAGTTCTGAACCACAACTTTTATTGTCTAGATAAAGGGCATTATTGGGACAATTGGTCAAACGGGAATGGGGTCTGAAGATTAGATGTTAATACTATATCAATGCCAACTGCTTGGTGTTGATGACAGAACTACGGTCACCTAGGGGAGTGTTCTCAGCTTTAGCAAGTATACACTGCAGGAATCTGAAGGAACGGGATGCCGTGTCTACGTCTTATTCTCAACCGGTTTGGAAAAAAAATATGTATACAAATATAGGAAAAATGACAAAACAAACATGGTAAAATGTTAATGACTAGGGAACCGGGATAGAGGGTATATGGGGTTTCTTGATAGTATTCTTGAAACGTTTCTATAACTTTGAAATTACTTCAAAACAAAATTTTAAAGCATTAGGGAGATTGGGTCAAAACGTACAGGGCTATGAATGTCTGGGAAAGATGTGTTGCTTTTATTCTACAAAGAGGAGCCATTGAAAGTTTCTAAGGTAAAACATAATGCAAACAAAGGGTGGCAGACGGGGCAGAGTCTAAAGTTGAACCAAGGGTCAAACAAAAGCACCACTGACCAGCGGAAAGGAGGGACTTCGAGGCAACTTCCCAGACTCCAGCCGATGCATGTAGAGACAGACTTCAACCTGAGGTGTGGCATCACTGATAAAGCGAATGACTTCCAGGGCGTGAAGGACATCAGAGTACTGCTCCTTGCGATACATCATCACCTGGGCATGGGACTCATGGTGTGGAGGTAAGATGCCTATAGAGACCCGGGTGGCGGGCGGGGTGGGGGGGAAGAGGGCAAAATACTGAGGCACCAATCCAAATTCCTCTTCTATGAAAGAGAATCCTGTGCGAAGCTGCCTACCACAATTAGACTAGAACTCAACACAAATATTTAGTTACCGTATAGATCATCTTTTAGAAATTCACACTATAAAACAAATTTTAAATACTATCAATATTCAAATGGCAATTACATCATTGATATTAAAGAGAAATGAAACGACATCATAAAGCCTTTGAATAAATGTGCCACATAAATTCAAGATAAATCACACCAATTACAATAATGATTTAATTCAAGTTTACGGTTGTCAGCCTCAGGCCACCCTGAGCTGCTAAAGGCCTCTCTCCAGTTGCTGTGCTTGGCCCCTAATACGGAATTGTTCACATCCCCCAACCTCCACAATTCATATGTTGAAGCCCTAACCCCCAATGTGACTATATTTGGCAACAGGGCCTTTAGGAGGTAATTAAGGTTAAAAGAAGTCATAAGGTGGGGCCCTAATCCAACAGGGCTAGTGCCCTTGTAAGAAAAGGAAGAGCCACCAGAGCTGGCGTGGTTTCTCTCTCTGCCGTCTGAGGACACAGCAAACCAGGAGGTGATGTTTCACCAGGAACAAAATTGGCCAGCACCTTGATCTTGGACTTCCCAGCCTCCAGAACTGTAAGGATATAAACTGTTATTTAAGCCACCCAGTCTGTGGTATTTTGTTAAGGGAGCTGTAGCTGACAACACAGCCCCCTTCATCTTAGAACCACCACCAAGTGGTCAAATCCTTTTCTTCCCCACCAACTAAAACTTGCTCAAAGTCCTAAAGTCTCCTTAGAAGGAAAAAAAAATCTCTAATTTTCACTACCAAAGTGACCTTACATTACATTTTAATGCCATTTTATGCTCATTAATATATTTAAACATGATGTCTACTCGTTAGACTTTGGGGCAAGAACCACATTTTTTAAATACAAACAAATGGCATGGAGAAAACACACTGGAAGAGCACTGGATGGGCCTTCAGTCAACTAGTCCCAGAGGTGTGAACACCAAGATGCTCACAAATGTCTCTCCCGGGACTTGTTTCCTTATCTGCCAGAGGCAGGAAATGGGATGGGTAAACATTTCACCAAATGTTCTCTGCAGAACATCAGCCCCAAGGGTCTTCATGAGAAAAAGGGTACCAGAGTCAAATAGATTTGAGAAGTGGTAACAATGAAATTAAGGCTTTAAGTTTTGCTATAAAGAAAAACATCTTCCTTTGTTTACCCCAGCCTCATTAAACTTCATGAAACTGTATCGAAGCCCAAGCTCCAGAGTCAAAGTTCCTGGGTCTGAAGTCTAGCTCTACAGTTAACCAGCAGGGTGACCCTCAGCAACTTACTTGATCTTCCTGTGCCTTAGCTTCTCCATCTGAAGAATGGGAAGAATAATACCCATCTCACACAACTGTAATGCTGACTAAACAAATTAACATACAGAAAACACTAAAAGTACATGGCACATACTAAGCTAGTATAAGTGTTATTAGCTAGTACACTTGACTATGGATCTCTCCTTGGTGCAAACTACCACAGATCCAGTATTCTAAAGAACATTCTGAGAAACATAACTTGGATGAGCTCAGAAGACTAACACGGTGGGAGGTTAATGTTGGAACCAAACTCCCAACATAGCGTGGCAACTCTAAATGTCGAGTGCCTTTTTAAAAAATTAATCAATTAATTAATTAATTTTTGGCTGCCTTGGGTCTTCATTGCTGTGCATGGGCTTTCTCTAGTTGTGGTGAGCGGGGTCTACTCTTCATTGTGGTGCGCGGGCTTCTCATTGCAGTGGCTTCTCGTTGCAAAGCACGGGCTCTAGGCACGCGGGCTTCAGTAGCTGTGGCACACGGGCTCAGCAGTTGTGGCGCACGGGCTTAGTTGCTCTGAAGCATGTGGGATCTACCCAGAGCAGGGCTCGAACCCGTGTCCCCTGCATTGGCAGGCGGATTCTTAACCACTGCGCCACCAGGCAAGTCCCTCGAGTGCCTTTTACGGCAAAAACAAGGGAGACTCACCTGATAAAGCAAGCCACGAAAGAGAGGTGATGAACAGCCTGACAGGTCTTGGCACTCAGCTGCAAAGTACAACCGTCCATCTCATACTAACCCACTGGCATTATCAGTTAATAAGACACATAGCCTTTCTCAGCAGATATAAATATGATCGACATTCCCACCTAAAAGGCACCCCTGGAAGGCATTTACTTTGATGGGCACTGGAAACACTAAGATTTTAAAAATGCTCAGGGAAAAACTGAGGTCATTTTCACACATTCTCTATATTTTAACCGCACGGTGACCTATTAGAAAAGTGTACAAAGGCTGGCAAGAGGCACAACAAAAAAGGCAATACACAGTGCTTTCTAGCACGGCTTGCATTCCCTCGCTGGCTCCACATTACATAATCAGATTCAGGACTCCAGATTTTCCAAGTCCTGAAAATATAGTACATTTTGGAAAGAAAACAAGGTCTATAAATCTAGCCTAACTTCAAATGGGCTCTACAAACATGAGCTCAAATCCTAGCTCTGCCACTCACAGGCTATAAGGCCTCAGGCAAGTTATTTAGCTTCAGCCTTTTTCCCGTCGGTAAAACTGCAATATTGATACCTGCCTCACAAGGGAATCCTAGGATTATCCTAACTTTTGGGTTTTTTTTAAAAGAAAGAAAAGGAGGGTAGTAATGGATGGGTATTTTATACATCAGCAGGCTCAGCAATTAACAGAAAAAAAAATCCTTAGCTCAAAAGGCATATACTGCCAGTCACTTGGGGCACACGTTTTCTTCCACAGAAACTGAGCGAGACTGTTTTTCCTTCTCCTTCAGCCACTCTTCACTGTAAGTTATTCATTTGTGCTTCTAGGAAGTAAAAACTCAATTCCTTTTTTGATTCTGACAGCACTCCTTAGGAAGTTATACCTCTACGGCTGGGAGTCGCAGACTAACAAATCAAGAGCTAAACCCTAGGAGTTAATTTAGCTCAATATCCTCATTTTACAGATGAAAGAAAAAAGGGAAAAAAAAAAAAAAAAAAAGAGGCCTAGTGGCATCTTCTGGAAGGTTACCAAGCTGACAGTAAAGCCCAGACCAGTTCGCCTTTCTCCCGGCCCAATGCTCTTCCCACACCTTGTCTCAGGAAGGTGCATCACTGTCTCTTCTAATGTCACCTGACACTCAGAGTGACACGCAGTGGACTGCCTCTGAAGGTCACCTTCTTCCAGGCTTCCAAAGTGAGTGGTGATTCAGGCTCCCGAGGTTAGACCTAGTACTCTGTAAAAGGCCTAAAGAAATCCTTTTTCTGACAGATAAGATGCCAATGATCCCATCATTCAACATTTTGAAGATAAAGCTTCCAACTCTTAGAAATCATACCTAGAAGCACCTTCCAGACCAAGGCACGGTACATGGATGGGAGCGGGAACCTCTGACTAAAAGTACAAAGTTTCTCAATATCTAGAGGAAGAAAAAGAAAAAAAAAAAAAAAAACGATTAGATGCTTTTCATGCTGATCACAATAGGTACACGTGCATCTCCTGTCTGAAAACCAAAAGTATAGTAAGACATCTCTTCAGAGGCAGGCTGCTATACAATCAGCAAATCTAGGAAAGGTAACACTAGACTGACTTCCAGCCCAGGTGTTCCCACTAGCTATGTATTTTTTTTTCCAACTAGCTATTTAAAAACAGTGTTTCACGGTGTAGGAGATGCATTTTGCATATATTACTACATTCACTATAACATCAGCAGTAGTTACTATTTATAGAACTTACTTCATTAATCCACATCGCAAGCTTGTTGGGTAGTTATTGTTTCAAAGATGCAGAAACTGAAGCTCAGAGCAGTTTGTGACTTTAAGTTTACATCGCCGGTGACTGGCACAGTCAGCCTGCAAATCCCCACATTCACCAGTAAGCCACATTCAACCATCTTGGGCCTCAATTTCCCTACTTGTCAAGTGAAAATTACTTAAAACACAGACTGCCTAGTGAGGATCAAAGATCAGGTGGGAAATGTTTTTGAAACTTTAAAACACTCTATCCATTTAAACGACTGTTTTTAACTGTGGCTCAGTTTATTCTACTTTAATTAGCGATAGAACAGACCTTATTATGACTGGCTTAGAATAAAAATGTCAATATATAATGCAGTTTCAGTATTTCCATAAAAGAAAATCATGGCAAGAGTTGCTGCAAATTTACCCAGAAGCTATGATGACACCTCTGAAAACTGAGAAAAGAAAATACATGGGTCTAATAAGAGAAAAAAATATTACTGACTCCTAAAGAGGCCTTTCAAAAAGGTCTGGCTCTGACTCAGTGAAATATAAACTTGAAAAATCCTTAACTTCTCCCAAAATATACCATTCTGCTGCCATCCTATCACTAAAAAAATATGGCAGGTAACCAATACCTCTGGACATCTTTAAAGGTAACATTTAATTTCAGAAGATCTGGGAATGACTGAGAACCAATAAGGTAAATTTAACTTATAAAACTCACCCAGACAGTCATCTTTTAGGAGAATTTCTAATGATTTCTTTTCTTCAACTCCACGAAACCCCACTTTTTCATAATATACTGAACGGAAGTTTCTCTGAGAGTCCTCAGTCATGTTTCATTCTTGGAGAGACAGAATAGGGAGCAGAAAAAAGTGAGCCTAAAAACAAATGAAGAATTGATGAAAAATTGAATGATTTTCTCCAACTTTTCCATGAATCTGATACACCATGATAAATGGCCTGCCCTTGCATAGGACTCAGTATTAAACCTTCCCTTTTACACACCCTAACATCACCTCACCTTTGCACCTTGGCCAAAAACCAAGATATAAAACAAAAGTCCTCTGAGCTGCTGTAACAGATGACACAAGGTTCATGCCTTAGCACTCCAATTTTACTTAAGAGAGAACCTAGCACAATGGTATATTCTGCAGCCGTTTACACATGTTCAAAGAAAAAAGTTACTGAAATAGGAAGACAGACAAAATGTCATGCAAAAGGGATTATTAAATATACATGATGACTGTTTTAAAAAAATTTTTTTTTAATTAAGAGTATTCCGAAATGTTAACAATGGTTATCTTTTGGCAGGATTCCAGATGATTTTAATTTTCTTTCTTTGGCTTAGCTGTGTTTTACTAAAATGGGCATTTTGTAAAACGAAAAGCTAAGTTATAGAAAGAGTAAAAAAAAACGCACAAACCCAAGTTCCTCACTTAGTTTTCCTTTAAACACAATTCTATCAAATGTAATTGTCAATTCAAAACCCACAACAGATGAAGCATTAAATTATAAACCAAAAGAGGGGCAGGAATGTAGCCGGTTGACAAGTGATATCACAGAGATGGAGACAAAATAACGACTTAGAATCTGGCATCAGAACTCGAAAAGTTCGCTGGTCTCTCTGGTTCTTTCACAGTAACCTTCCGTAGGACTGAAGGCAAGTCATCAGGAAAAGGTCAAATTAGGTCTGTGTTTTAAAAACAGAATGGATGTAATGCATTTTCCAAAAAATATACCACTGCCTGCCGCAAACGCTTAAAGCGTCGGTGCAGAGTATAACCCTCAGGTTTTAGAAATTCTGAGATGGGGACCCAGGGGCTAGGGGAGGGTTGAGTTCTAGACAGCCAAGGTCTTCCTTATTGACAAGATCCTCACTGAGACGTTTCGGGCACAGGAAAGAACAGAATTCGTTTAGATTGAGCAATTCTACAGGGTACTGAGCTCTTAGGACCAAACGTTTTTTAAAAGCAGGATTCCAAAGCATTAAAACACTAAATAAGGTGGGATTTATTTAAAAGCAGCATCCAAACAGCTGCAAGGCGATCCGGTGGCTGCCGTCTAAGGACACCATCCTCTGACTGCAATGCAACAGCAAACGCGTCCTCCGGGAGGAAATAAAGTAAGTTTCCTTGCTGCCCAGCAGCGCCCACCTGACGGGAAAAGTAAACACACCCTGATCCAAGATCCCAGGTCCCACTCTCCCTATTATGCTTCACCTCTAGTAGTGGAAACCACACCCGGCTTCAGACTAAGTGGTCCGGGGAGGCAGCGGAAACCTGACCCGGTGCGCTGACCTGCCGACCGCCCAGGGCCCGCTGGGCGGAGGGAGACGGCTCAACACTCGGGCTCAAGAGATAATACCCAGCAGCCGCGGCGTCCGGCGGACGTGACGTCAGCTCCGCTCCACGGGGCGGTGCCGAGAGCATGCGTGCGCCGAGAGCATGCGCGGAAGCTCCACCCCCGCGCCGTGGGGTCGCAGACTCTGCAATCCAGACACGTGAAATAACGGGATGCAAGTCAACCTAGCATCTCAAGCTCCCCGCCCATTTCCCGCACCCGTCTCCCTGCTCCCCCTACTCATTCCTGGTCTGGAGAATCTCGCGACTACCTTACTCCCGCTGTCCCGGGCGGTGAGTGCCGGGATGCTCTCCCCAACCCTACCCTGGAGGTGATCGCAGACCCCAGGATGGTGCTCCTTAATCTGTCTGCGGTGGCAGACCCCTGCTTTGTTTTTATTTCCTTTTTACTGGTATGTGGAAATAAATGACCAACCAAATGAGAAGTGTAAAGCAACTTATTGAGAATTTGCTGTACGAGAGAGTCAGCCCCACTATCACTTCTATTTTGGCAGAAACTCAAAGGCAGGCAGAGGAGGGGAAATGTTGATAGTGGAAAAAAAGGGAAGGCTTCAGGTGTGCCCTCGTCGGAGGCTGTTGGCATGGGGAAGCTGCAGGTAGAGGAGAAGCCGGGTGTCCTATGTGATCCGTTAGCCACATTTGGCTTTATCTGGCTGGTCCTAAGTTGAAAAGCAGGGATACAAATTAGGGAAGCTGTAAGTTATTAATCAAGTCCCGGCCAGTTGCTACAGTAGTTATTGTTCCACTCCCTGGGTTGTTTCTACAGCTAGCAGTCAGGCTGGCTTCCTAGGCTGGTTTTTGTGGATAAGGGGTTGTTTTTCTAGGCAGGTTGTGGGTCCTTCTATTTTCATATATGGTCGACCACTGTCTGTATATTCAGCCTCTCAGTTAAAACACTATAAATTCTTTGAAAACTGAAGTTTAAAAACAAGGTATACAAGCCCCAAGTTTTTAGACTTAGACAAAATTACTCTTTAAAATAGCTATTAAAGTTTATAAACACTTTCTCTGCTTACCTTGTCACAGACCAGCACTGGTCTCAGGGACAGCCCTCCAAGCAGCACCAGATGAGTGGGTTTTTAAACCACTTGGGTTTGCGAGGAACTGTTACCGAGCCAGGTTTGTTTTGTCCAATGCATAGCAAGCCAAACGCTGAGACACCAAGGTTTGCAGCAAACAGAGAGAGAACCATCTCAAATCGGCTTCCCCTGAAAGAGGCTTGGGATACTTATGGGCTAAAAAAGAAGCAGGAAGATCAGAGTCATGGGAAAGGTGATTGGGAAAAGGTGTGGGAAGGTCATTCTACGCAGGTGTAACTAAGCTACAGGCCTTTGCACGTTCAAAAGATCACCAAGCAGACACTCACGCATGCCCAGTTGGAGGGTCGGTGTTCCCATCCAGTCTTAACCAGCTCAGCTCAAACTAGACACGGCTGACTCCAAGTTCCTGCAAAACAACTCGGGCAAACATCTTACTGTTACCGAACGCGAGTCCCTGTGCCCAGCACACGGTGAACCCAGCAATACAGAAATGTCAGAGTTTGAAGCAGAGAAAGGTTTATTGCAGGGCCGTACAAGGAGACAGGTGTTTTAAAAACCCCTTTCACAGGAAAGGTGAGGGAGGGCTGTGGTTAGTTGTTGAAAACTTCTTGGTGTCCGATCCTTTGTTCTTGCAGCTGTCCATGTAGATCAGGTCATGGTCAGCTCACGATGTTCTTGTAAACCTCCATCAAAACAAATGTTATTCTCCGTTCTACAACTTTTTATCTAAAGGTGTAATACTCCTAAAGGTAACAAATCCCATAAGCAAAGCAACATCAGTACCCCTCATTTTACTTGGTCAAAGTCCTAAGGCTCAACTTTCACCCTCTGAGGCCCAGGTCCTGACTAAGAAAAGGGGGTCACTGTGTGGGCCGGGTACCCTGGCTGGATGCATTCGTCCAGCACCCGGGTGTGGGTCCTCTGGCCAGTGCCCAGACTCGGCTGAAGAGGCAGGTCTCAGCTGGCAGCGCCTTCAGGGCCGGGTCCCCAGACCCAGCCCCGCCGTCATCACTGAAGGAGCCAGGCACCCAGCACCCAGCCGGCCCTCAGGCTCCTCAGGCCCCCCAAACAGGGTTGGGTCCCACAGACTGTGACCCAGCGTGACCACCACCACCAGGACCACTGCAGTGCTGACCGTTGGCAGAGCGGGACCACTGACAGTCATGCCCTAAGGCCTTGCACTCGCACTGATAGCTATGCACCCGCCCCATCCCCATTACTTTATTGCTTAGGCCACGGGCCACCTGGAGGACATGCAAGCCTTAAAACGACCTTGATGAGTAAAGGCAGGTGAAATGGATTTGACCCATGGTCTCAGTACCACCTAAAGAGAAGTCAGTTCAGTGATGGGAGCGGCTTCCCTAAGAGCCCAATGTGTACAGAGCAGACCACACAGGGGCCAAACTCTAGAGGGACTCTTAGAAATCAACACCAAAGTCAGTCCAGTTACGTTGTCAGTAGGTTTGTGGTGTAACGGCTACACGGAACTTTAATAAAGAAGCACGTGACGGTTGAATGCAAACACCTGTGCTTCTCTCCCCGACCCCGCAAACACCATCTTTAGCTCTTCAGCACTGGGGTTCTAACCCTTGCTTAGGCAGTGTTTCTTCACATTAGCAAATAGAGTTTTTCAAGTTTTAGCTTTCAAGAATTCCATTTACGTCATCTAAACTTTGGACCGGTCACTAAGTTTTACAATCTTCTTTTTCTTACCTTTAAAGTAGAACTAACAGTGGTGATGATCTCACAGAGGTATTGGAAGGATGAAGTGAGAAAATGTGTAAAGTTCTTGGCAATGCCTGGCACCTGACACAGTGAGGTTATGTGTGAATTGGCTGCTATTAGCTAAATGGTGACAGAACATGGTTGCCTTTAACTGTCATTCACTGTGCTTTTTGATGAGCTGACACACAATATGTGGAAGCTTCTACGGGAAATAAGTCTCTTGGAGACGATTCTTAACACTGCAGCCAGAGTGACCATTTAAAAATGTCCTTCCTCTGCTCAAACTCCTGCAATGTCTCCCCATTTCACTCAGAGTAAAAACCAGTGTCTGCATCATCTGCCTCCTCTTACCTTATCAAATACCAGGGTCCTTCTCATGTCTGTCCTCTACGCCTGAAATGCTGTTTCCCCAGAGGACCACGTGGCCTATTCCCTCACCTCAATTTTGAACAAATGTTCCCTCCAAAGTCCTATTCCAGGCACCGTACCTAAAACAGCAAACCCACTACCTGAATCTCAACCTTCCCATACTCACCTCCAATTTTCCTTTCTTCCACAGTGCTTATCGTAATCTTAGCAGGCAATAAAATTTTGTGAAACTGAATTGAAATAAGAATTTTAAAAGTCACAGGTGCCCCTTGTTTGAATGTATCCCTTGCTACCTTCACCCCTTAACGCCCTGTAACCTGACTACCCTCTGGTGGTTAATTATTCTTACTAAAATTATGGGAATAACTGCCCTGCTAGTCAACTCACTTTCAAGATTGAAAGGGACTCAAAGGTCAGCCCGTTCCATTCAATGTGATGGGGCTGAGAGCTAGATTTCAGGGTATGAAAGCAGCACGAAGTGTTTAGGAACGGCATCACATCTTTTAAAATTCACCTGTGATAGGATAGTAATTATCAAATACCATCAACCTCCACCGCCTGCCCCTTTTTTTTTTTTTAAGAGATAAGGCAATGGAGACCCAGTGAGGTCATAGCTCTAAGGCAACTGTCTTCGTTTTGAGCAGCAAGCAAAACTAACATAGTAAAAAAAAAAAATCCATTAAAGCATGATTGCGGGAATATATAAATTCAGGTGACTGACATATAAAATCTTACCTCCAAAACATCTGAAGGGGGACAAAACTGGATGGTCCCGGAGGCTCATTTTCTCCTTCATTTCGGTCATTTGGTGGAGAATTTGTTCAGCAGATCTGAGCTGGCTAATCATAGGCAGACACCAGCTGAGGCCCCCAGAGGCTCCCCTTTCTGACCAGGGAGCTTCCCTTAGTGTCATAGCAGATCTGTGCTTCACCCAACCCCATCACTGTAAATATGTGAAAAATTAAGGGGAAGGGGCTCCCCTTGATTGTGATGTTTGGCTGCAGTGCATGGACCCTCTATGCCTTGCCTAAGCTGTGGAATAGAATCGAAGGATTGCATACGCTCCACTATTTTCTACTTGTAAATTTTCCCTCTAATAAAGTCTACTTTATACTTGCATCCTTTGGCACTAGTGGTGTGTTTTCATGACCCTTTTTCGGGATACATGATTGTATACAGAGCTGTCCTGTTAGAGGGAGGAAATATTACTTTACCTGTCAAAACTGGTAGGATATGTATTACGTGGATGTGATTATAGCCTTCCAATACTGTCCTGGTATATGGAAACCTCTGGTCAGAGGTCAGAGGTCGCCTCGTGCACGTGGGGTCATTTAGCTAATAATGAATCCATTAGCCACTGGTAATTATTTGACCTTTGCCCTGTTTTATATTTTGCATGAATCTTTGGCCCTTTTAGTGTCAAGATGGCAGGTAAAGTCATCAAAGTTAAAATGAAAACTCCATTTCAGTTTCAGTGAAACTAGAAAAAAATATAAAGTAGCTGAAGAATTTCCAGAAGCAGTAGAGAGCAAGCAGGGCACATGTAGGAGAAAGTAGAGAGAGACCCCAAAGCTGCAGACCTCAGAGACAGCAAAACACATCTCCCAAAGCCATTCTTATCAGGAACACATGTTAGAATTTGCCAAATGCTTTTTCTGCATGGAGATAATCACGTGGTTTTTCATAAGTACTTTGTTAATATGGTGAATTACACGGATTGATTTTCAAAGGTAAACAAATTGTGCATTCCTGGGATAAACATCATTTGATCATGATGTATTACCATTTTTATATATTGTTGGATTTGATTTACTAGAA